GCTATTTTTTTTTTTTTTTTGGTTGCAGCCATCATTGTTGTTTGGCAGGCCCAGGCTGGATTCGAACCCGCCAGGTCAGGTGTATGTGGTTGGTGCCTTAGCCGCTTGAGCCACAGGCGCCGAGCCAAGTCCCTGTGCTCTTAACCATTTATTACCCGTTGTTAGGTTTTGGGCAAATCACTTCCCTTCTCTGGGCCTCAGTTTTCTTATTTCCAGAAGTGGGATGATGATGGTCCCTGCCTTAGAGGGCTTATGGGAGGATGGAGTGAGGTTGGGCCTAGCTGAGGGCATGCACGTTCTATGAGAGCTGAGAGCACCAGCCTCTATGGGCCCCTCTTCAGTTGCTGTATCTTTCAGGGAGTAGGAGCAGGTAGCAGGGCCTGGATAAGCCTGAGCACGGTGCAAGATCAGAGAGCCTGACAGGCCCTGGCTGGGAGCTGATTATGTGAATGAAAGGAGGAAGAAAGGATCAATGAATAGGAATGAAGAAAGTTTATAAGCATTAATGAGTGCTTGGGAGCAAAGGAGTTAGCCCAGGGAGCAGTACAGTACATGGAGTATGACCACATTTTATGTGACTTTGTATTATGTTCATTCAAAGAACATGTGACAAAAAGTGCTAATAAGGCCAGGCATGGTGGCTCACGCCTGTAATCCCAGCACTTGGGAGGCCAAGGCGGGTAGATTACCCTGAGCTCACAGGTTTGAGACCAGTCTGAGCAAGAGCAAGACCCTGTCTCGAAAAAAAGCTAGCCATTGTGGTAGGTGCCTGTAGTCTCAGCTACTTGGGTGGCTGAGGCAAGAGAATCACTTGAGCCCAAGAGTTGGAGGTTGCTGTGAGGTGTGACTTTACGGCACTCTACAGAGGGTGACAAAATGAGACTCTGTCCTCCACCCCCCAAAAGTGCTAATAAGCCTTTATTAAAGGTGAATGTTGCAGTAACCCTAACCACTCTCAACCTTAACTAAAATTTTGAGAAGTACATCATTTCAAAGCCAAATGTCCAAGCAGTACTGGATCTGTGTTTATGTTACTATCTTGGGGTGGCACTCTTTAGCTGAGAAACACTCCCTGCTTCCCTGTCTCAGGCTCACCTTTGAATTTTGCCTTCAGCCAGCTCCCTGCTCTGCTACTTAATATTTGTGTGTGGAGCCAGATACAGGAGCACAAATAGGGCGGATAATCCCACCTACTTCATAGGGTTGTTAAGAGGATTAACCAAGGTACCCTATGGTGAGTGCTCAGAATAGTACTTGGCACATAGTGATGTGTTCCTGCTTGTGATTGTTACTCAGGGAAGATGTGCACTCCTTGCACAAAACATGACTGCTGTATAATGTGATCTATTTTAAATTCGAATCTGAGTTGGGCGTGGTGGCTCACACCTGTAATCCTAGCACTCTGGGAGGCCGAGGCAGGTGGATTGCTTGAGCTAGGGAGTTTGAGATCAGCCTAAGCAAGAGCGAGACCCTGTCTCTACTAAAGTAGAAAAATTAGTGGGGCATTTTGGCACCCTTAGTCTCAGTTACTTGGGAAACTGAGGCAGGAGGATCGCTTGAGCCCAGGAGTTTGAGGTTGCTGTGAGGTATGATGATGCCATGGCACTCAACTCCAGGGCAACAAAGTGAGACTATCTCAAAAAAAAAAAGAAATCACTTCTGAAGAAAGGGTTTTGCAGTAAAGAAAGGGTTTGGAAACCCCTGTGCTTGACAGCGGCTTCTGTGTAATACCCCTGTTCTCAGAGTGCTTGCCCAGGACTTCAGTGGTCCACAGCACTCCCTCTAAGGCATGGGTGTGAGGATCATCCCCCTTTTCAGGTGGAGCAAAGAGGGTTGTAACTTGTCCTGGGACAATTACAAACTCTGTCCTGTCTTCAACTTAGCAGGTAGGGTCCCCTTTACCCAGAGTGGTTCCCTTTGACACTTAGGCGGGCATCCCCAGAGGTTGTTTGAAAAACAGATTTGACTGTTATAGCAAATTAGAATATTTCCTTTCTAACTCAGCAGTTGTGAATAGTGGCCTATACTTTTATTTGGTTTATAATGATGATTTAAAAAGTAAATGAATTAGTTGAAAACACTTAAATTTATCAAGGAGTTTCTCATTATAAGAAAGCAAGAAAAAGGCTCTATTTCTGCTTTCTTTTGAAAAACTGGATGATCTGGCCTTCCTGAGCAGCAGTCACTTGGTCTGAATATCAGCCTTGCTCCTGAGATAGGCCACCCACTGGGTCATGGGTCTTTGGCATCTGCTTTGTCCCCATGAGCATCCGCATTTGGCCTTTTCTGCTGTAGTCCAGCTCCCTTATACAGACAGGGAAATGGAAGCCCTGGTGGCAGGGGGCTTGCCCTGGTGGCAAGGGGCTCACCCTGGGTCACATACAGGGTTGTCTGACCCCTGCACTGCCCACCCTGCTCACCACTCCCTCCTCTCTTGTAGGTGTGCTGATGTATCGGGACTACCCCCTGGAGCTATTCATGGCACAATGCTATGGCAATGTAAATGACCAGGGCAAGGGGCGCCAGATGCCTGTCCACTATGGTTGCAAGGAACGCCACTTTGTCACCATCTCCTCTCCACTGGCCACGCAGATCCCTCAGGGTGAGGACACATGCCCCAGGCCTTGTTATGCCAGCCAACATCACACCCCTGTTCAAGCCATCCCTTCTGGATAGGCTTCCAGGTTGGCGCCACCATCAGAGCCATATTCTTTACTCTGGACTTTCTTTTTTTTTTTTTTTTTTTTTTTTCGAGACAGAGCCTCAAGCTGTCCCCCTGGGTAGAGTGCCGTGGCATTACAGCTCACAGCAACCTCCAACTCCTGCGAGTCTCTTGCCTCCGCCTCCCAAGTAGCTGGGACCACAGGCGCCCGCCACAACGCCCGGCTATTTTTTGGTTGCAGCCGTCATTGTTGTTTGGCGGGCCCGGGCTGGGGATTCGAACCCACCACCTTAGGTGTACGTGGCTGGCGCCTTAGCCGGTTGAGCTATAGGCGCCGAGCCTTACTCTGGACTTTCAATATACCTCTTGTTTGGGACGCTAAAAGGAGCACTCTGTTGGTGTCTCCACCCTGTTAGCACCTTTGGGCTGCATGACGATACTCTGAATTTCTCAAACTATGCCCACCCTGTTTTTCTGTTCACAAACATATCCAGTGTGTTCCAGGCCCTATGCTGATGCTTCTGTTTCATTGTCAATAGGATGCTTGCCATGACTGTGGGGGTAAATGTTACTATATACTCTTCTTATTTTATTTTAAAGAGCCAGAAATTGAGGCTGGGCATGGTGACTCACACATGTAATCCTAGCACTCTGGGAGGCCAAGGTGGGTGAATTGTTTGAGCTCAGGAGTTTGAGACCAGCCTGAGCAAGAATGAGACCCCATCTCTACTAAAAATAGAAAAAAACAGCAGCTGCAGGCACCTGTAGCTACGTGGGAGGCTGAGGCAAGAGGATCACTTGAGCCCAAGAGTTTGAGCTTGCTGTGAGCTATGATGCTACAGCACTCTAGCAGAATGTGACTCTATCTCAAAACAAAACAAAAAGCCAGAAATTAAAATCTAAGTGGGAAGGTACTTGGTATAGGCCAGGTAGCAGGGAGGGAGAGGAGCAGGAACTCAAACTATAGATGTGTCACTCCAGAGCCCAGGTCCTGGGCCCTAACCCTTATTTTCCTCTGTCCTCAGAGTCAAGCAAACTCCTCCAAAGCTTACTGTGGGTGCCTCCAAACCCCTTCTTTTAAAAGGGACTTGTTTGGGAACCAGACCCACCAGGTGCCAGGCCTGTGCCCATCTACTGTGGAGACTAAGCCATCTCCCCCAAACCTCCCACATCACACTGTGTTGGCCCAGTCTAGTTGAGGGTCAGTGCAGGCTCTGGCTTTTTCTGCCTCAGGACAGCCGAGATGCATGTGTCTCAGTCTCTGTAGGCCTAAGCAGTGTGCCTGGTCTGCACCAGCAGCAGGCCCCACCTTTATCGTAGTGTTCTGTTTGGAATAAGGAACAATTCAGGCCTTTTAGGTGGGAAGTAGGCAGGGACGCTTTCTCAGAGGAGGGGTGTGTGAGCTAAAGGGTTACCATAAGGGCTGGACCTGGCCCCAGCTTTCTTTTTGGGTGCCCACTAAGTGACTCATTCAGCAATTGTACAGAGGCCCCACAATGTGCTGGGCTCTGCTCTTGGTGCAGTGAACAAAAAAGACAAACCTCAGTCCTCTGGTGCTGCCATTGTTGGGGGGACAGACAGTAGATAAGATGAAGTGATACCTAGAGTATGTCAGGGCCAGCTAGTCCTGTAGGGAACAGCCAAGCCAAGGAGGGGATGGTGTGTGATATGGCTGGGGAGGGAAAGCATCATTGGAAGGTGACACTGAAGCATTGGCCAGAGGAGGCAAGGGAGGGAGCCACATGGCTATCTTGAGGCAGGTGTGTGCTCCATGTGTTTGAGGAGCAGGGAGGGGCCTGTGGGGCAGGTGTGGAGGATGCAGATAGGGAGGGTGGTTGAAGGTAAAGTTCAAGAGGTAGCTGTTGCAGATTATGCAGATTGGGTGGGGCCTTGTGGCCTTTGCCTTTTGCAGGGACTTTTTTTTTTTTTTT